ACTATTGTTCAAAATATGGAATAACATCATCTAATTTGTCTAAATATGTCATCAATAAGATTTTGAAATAATTCTGGAACAACTTTAATTCCGTACTGCAAATATTAACGTAATAAATGCCTCTGTATTTTATATTAGTTTAAGTTTTAACCTATTTAGTACCTTCCAAGAATTGAAGATTGGCTTAAGCAAAATCAGCTTTTGCAATTTAAACTCCTTCCCTTAAATTAGATAACGATTGGTTTACATTAAGAATTGGAAATGGGTGTTTTTTCACAGAATTATTTCAAGTAATTTTTTTATAATTACTACATAACCGAACTTTCCTTGATGGTTTAACTACAAGAACCATCGATATTCACTAAAAAGGATTTCAGATGAGTTCTGTGATGTTGTTTGACAGAAGTTTATCGAAAGCTGTACTAATATTTGAACCTACTGCAAGAGGACACAATCGCGTTGAACTCGATTCATAGCAGAATCGATTAAAGTAGTAATAAAGGTTCTTTATAAATACTTAATATTTTGCGAAGAATATCATGAAATTCTTTGTTCATATTCTCAGTTGGGTACGATTAATAACATTTATTTCTCTGGATGAATTCCTAATATCAAAACCATTCGTAAACAAAGATTTTTGTGCGTTTAGCGTCTGCAATCAATAGTTTAAATTATGCATTATAGTTATCGTAAGCTACTTCAAAATGATCCCCTCAAATGAATTAAATTCCTTCGAAAATCGGATAATTGTATAGAGAATGAACAGCTGATTTCCTCTCAGATGTCTGAATGAACAGCTGATTTCCTCTCATTTGTTGAAAATATATATCAGAATGAACAGCTGATTTCCTCTCATTTGTTGAAAATATATATCTCATAAGAAATAACTGAGTAAAACGATCTTCATATACATTTCTTTCCTTCAATAAATATCGTTATTTCCCCTTCAAGGGATAAACAGAGAAAGATTTATCTGGTCCCAGTATCAAGAACCTTCAGTAATTTTTAAAAGCATTAAATACTATATCCTCTGTCTTAAGAGGAGGATTCATAGAAATTCAGGTGATGTGGAGCCCTATCTTCATGAAGCAGCCACTGGGGAAAAGCATACTATAATTGTTCACCAGTACATTTTAAAACAATTTCTGCATTACCTTATAGAGTTCTTCATTTTTATTATATCAAATTAAACGTCGAGGAACCTAGTGAACTACTAAGCAAATAATCGCTTAAGTCCAAGAACAGAAACGTAAACTCATGAAGGGTTAATTATCCCTTATTTTCTCCGAATAAAGATTAAAAGTCGACCCCTTTCTCAGAGCGTACAACAAAGCTTCTACTTGAGCTTAAACTCAGAATGTAATATATAAGAACTAACTAATGACCAACTAAAGAAATTTAGCCGAATTTAACACAATTCTAAAACGTAATATTAAATTAGTTCGCCCTTAGCATTAAATTAGCGAGCGAAGTATAAAAAGACGTGTAATACGGCCGAGCGTAATAATAGCTTAGCAAGAGAGCGCGTTTGCCTTTGGGAGCGCGTCGCCCAAAGGCGAAAGCGCGCTACTCGGGAATCCTCCCTCTATCTGACGAAGAAAAAGACAGTTCTATATTACCGAGCTATTGCAGGTGCAACGTTGTCGGTTCCTTAAATTAAGCCCAAGGGCACATGACATAATGAATTCAGGAAATGGAAAACATCTCGGATGAGAAAACGGTGATAGGAAAAGTGAGAGGTTTACCAAAAGGAAAAAGGCCAAAGGCATCTAGCAGGTGAACGGAACTTGACAAGATGAAGAAAATCCAAACGGATCCTTGACAATTCAGAGAAACGACAAATGCAAAACATGGTTCAAAATGCTATACAATAACAACAAAAGTTCGATACTACACAAATTCAACCCATATAACAGAAAATCAACACACAACGATTATTACAACATCACACTAACAATCCAAACAACTTAGAGGTTAGAGTACAGCACTGTCTTTATCAGATAAAATGAAAGAAATTACAGTCTCCAATTCAGGAGCAAGAGAAGAAGCACAAGCTTCATCCCATGAAGGTGTGAGCAGCAAGTGGTCTTATGTTGCGGTCTTCATTGAGTATTTCGTAGTTGAAGACTTGGAAATAGTTCACATAGTCGCATTGGAAGCTTTAGAGAAGAATTTCTCATTTGTTCTTTTAATAAATTCCGTGATGGTTTTAAGCTTAAGATCTCTATGAAGAAGTAAAGGAATGAGATTCAAAAATGACTTCAGATATATGCAGCTGAATATAGATTTTAACCAAGTTTTTTAAATCCGTTTTTAAACCGTGTAAAACGAGTACCGTGTGTAACAACTGCAAACAAAAATTTACGGACGCCTTCCAAATCACTCAAATGAACTACAAGTTCTCCAGATGAATAAAACCACTGTTTATCCAGTAAAAATGCAGCCTTAAATTAGCTTTACTAAAATAAACCGAGAACATTGCGTTCTAAACATTACATAAAAAAAGAAAGCATACTTACTTAATAATCATTGTTGCCATTCAGCAAAAAAGAAAAGTAATAACAAAAAGATAAGTAGAAAATCATAAGAAAAGTAGTAGTTAAGTTTAAATAACTATTATTACTAATTTAATTATTGTACAATCTTTAACACCTTGTCAATCGAGGCATAGATGCAATCACGAATGACTTCTAGTTACCATTCAGCGTAAAAGAAATATAAATATGAATACACTCAAAAGTCGTTAATCCGGACTCTTCGGGACTTCGGCGATTCCGGATTATCGATCATCAGTTTAAATCTGGTAAGATGGCATGCAGAAATTATAAAATTAAAAAATATGAAATTGTAATTTATGAAATAAAGAACAATTATGATCTAAAGAGTATCAAAATTTACAAAAAAAGCTTAATATTTATTTGTTTACTTTATTAAACATTTCTTTCAATGTCAGTTGTTTAAGTTGCTTCGTTTTTTATGTGATAATACATTCTCTTTAATTCTATAAACAGACATAATTTCTTGTTCAGTTACAAAGTTCCTCTGTTCAAGTCCTATAATTGCTGTGTCGAGAACACCGACTAATTTGTCAATCGAAATTTTTTCGTTTTCAATAGCCTCTGTGTCACTTTGTTCACTATCGGAAGCGAATTACAATGACGAAGAATTTGATTTAAATCATATCAAAGGAGTACATCGAGATGAAATACTACATTTAGTAAGGAATTATAAGCCAAATAAAATAAAAACATCTGCCCTGAAGATAAGGATAGTGCTGACAGATCAACTTCCAATTAATTGCGCGCCGCGGCGTTCCCTCCCCCTGCCGCAGAGCAGCGTGAAATTGATAAACAGATTTCGGAATGATTAGAGAAACAAAGGATATGCTTTTATCCATTTTTTGCAGCAATTCCACTTTTTGTTTAATGGACTTCGAAACATACTTTCGCTTTGTAGATCCTTTACATATTAGTAAATATATATCGGAAATTGTATTTGACATAATCGAAAGTTCAAGCTTACTTTTATAAAATTGCTCTAACAGTCTGCAAAAAATAATAAGCCGGATCCAATTCGAAGATTAAGGAACAACGCAATCTGCAACATTAACTGAATTAGATAATTTTAGCTTAGCTTATACCGTCCGTTATACATTAAACGCGCATGCGTAAACGTATTATGCGCATGCGCACACGCATATTCGCAGCCGTAAAGGTCTTACGCACATGCGTCAAAAAGAACATGCAGAAAGTTTGTAGCTTTGAGGTCCGGATTATGGGTGTCCGAATTAACGACTTTTTGACTGTATTAACAAAATGTTAAAGTCAATTTTACTAAATAATTAAACACATGCAAAAATATAAAATACTTGAAATAAAAAATAATTATTACTCATCCAATAACATGCCCACTACAAATTGTTGTCTGCATTTGGAAATCATTACTTGTTTAGCAAATTTAATTAACACTTTCATATCGGAAGTGAACATGGCAAGAAGCTACAAATTAACCATGAATGTTCCTAGAAATTACAATTTTTTTGCTTTAAATTTATTTTAAAGATGTTAAAAGAATTCAAACTATGCAAAATATCCTTGGTGCAAAGAGTTTAACTATTTTTGATGTTATTAAAACGATGCAAATGAAATTTAGAAGAAAAGTTTTCAACTAACTAAGAACAGATAGTGGATTTGAAAGCTAACCCTAAAACTACTAGAAGAGCTATTATAGTAAACGGACACAATGAGCGATCAGCAAGAATGAAATTCGTAAGTGAAAAAACAAGGAAGATATGGTTAGCATTTTCATAATTCACGGTGAGCAAGTATTTACCATATTGGAACAATATTATATTTGAAAATAAGTCATAATTGAATATATTTTGTCCAAGAAAAAATTATTAGAGCGAAACTAGAATGAAGGCTTGAATAGGAAAAATCTATTTTCTGTTGTTAAGCACGGAGGCAGAGTCTTAATGGTTTGGGGATGCTTCACTGCTCTAAGATGGAAAATTATTGTTTTTATACAAAACGATATGCATCAGTATAAATCTATATAGATTCTTAATGAAATTTGACAAAAAAGATATGATTTAAACATTATTTAAAGAGCACAAAGTAAATGCCCAGAGCTTTATCCATCTTCTTAGGGTTAAAAAAATAAATAAATAAATAAATAAAAATAAAAAAAAAAATTGCGTGTTACCACATCGCTGAGCAAAATCATAACAACTTCGATCCCTAAAAGTGAAAATAAATCATTTTCAATACTTTATGAACAACAGTAGATGACTCCTTGAGTCTGCAACAATAAAAACGAAAGAATTAGTTCAGTTTTACTTAACAATAAATAAAAAAGACTTCCAGTTTTGTAACTATTGTTATGCTTTTAATTGAGCCGTTAACATTTTTCATTTTCGCAGTGTCTTGATTGGAACATTTGCCAAAGAAGACCTCTAGTGAGTAACTTTATCAGTATCCGTAGCCGAAGTGTGAGCTAACTCCGGATGATCTCGGAGTAGGTTCCACTTCTCTGTCGGCCGGTCGTTTTGGTTACCTTACTCCGGGGGGTGATGGGCAGGTGATTTTGGAAAGGAGCAGGCAGATGAATGAGAATCACAGTGGGATTTGAAGTCGGAGAGACTATATGGAGTTTTAAAACTCTTAGAAGAAAGCTATGAAATAATGACATCTGCAGTGAGTATAGGAATGAATTTAGTTAGGATGCATCGAGCTTGCACCCTGCTTATTATAATATTTCATGTAGTAGGCCTAGTATAAATAATGTTTTTGTGAATGTTTTCCAACAAAAAAATATGCTTTATATTTTTCTATGGCTATTTTTTTATTATTTAAGGCTTGAACAAAATTAACGGTAATACATTTAGTGCATTAAAGAAGGAAAACTTCATTTAGAGCAGGTTTATGTAAAACTGAAAAATAAAAACAATCAATATGTCAAATGTGTGTACAGTTCCAATTTGTGCTGTACCTGTTCTATTCCCCAGCACATATCTCTTCAAAAATATTATGAATTTGCATTGCAATGCCTAGTAATTAATATATAAGTAGCAATCATTGTAAGTGGATTATTAAAAAAAGAAATGCTCCAATTTATATTTTAGCTAAAGAACCTTTTTGCTTTCATTTACTTCACAATATATTTGATTGCAGCAATTTTTCAAAATTTTAATGTAGTATGATGAAGGTTTCTTAAAGTTTAATTTAAGAAGCTTAATATGAGTGTTGTTTTATACTTTATCTTTTATTTTGAAGCAGATTCTTTTTTTAACACAGAATTTTCTCATATATGTATTTTTTCATGTATTCAATAATGTTCAACGTTTTTAAGTCATGATTTCATCATTTTTAAAGCTAACTAATACCCTTTTGATGTCAATGTTCAAATTCCTTTTTCTTTGAGGGGTAATGTTCGTGTAGTTTTTGTTCTGTGTATCATTTTTATAAGGAATTTTCTGTTATTTAATGGAATTGTTTCAAGAAAGATAAGCTATGATAATGTGAAATATACAGCGCAATCAAATATTCATTATCTAAAGTTTAAAATATAATTTTATTCTAAGAATCCCTCAGTTTTCTTTTTTTTTTTTTTTTTTTGTACTTGCGTTTTATCCCGTTAGTTGGGCAAGCAGTGCGATTTAGCGTGAGTTATAGATGACCGCGTCCTTTAGATTCTGCAGTAATGATTGCCAAAATTTTTCCTATGGTCGATAGAATAATATGTAAGTACCCTTTGTTTTTACATGTGTATATATTCTATTTACTTTTGTTACAACTCACTTTTATGAGAATTTCTTTGCTTTTCTGGTTAGTTACCTTTTACATTGTTTTTTTATTCAGAGTATTACTGATTTAACATTTTACCTTTCAGCTACCGTAAGTTGCTGAATTGTCTGTTTACATTGGATGTAAACTTTATCAGTGTATTTTTTAAATGACTCTTAGTATTGAACTTTCTGAAAAAGAAAATTAGGAGTTGATAACTTAGCTGTTATGTTGCAAAGGCATTTTTTAAATTGCTGCAAGAAGTATATAAATAACTTAAGATTTCAAAGGGGGGAAATCATTAACCTAAATGCATTAGAAACAATATATAAAATTATCATTCTTTTATTATTAAATATAATGAAAAGAATTTTGTAGTTGGAGCATGATATTTCTGTAATTAATTAGTAAATGCTTCATTTACATTTGACAATTTCGTAAACACATCTTCTAATTAAAACTTTCTCTGGTATAGTTTGCAGTTTTAATTTACATAAAAACATCCTGCATGAATGCATCCCTCCACATAAGCAGCTGGCCCTGCATTGCCTTAGCCCAGTGGTCGGCAAACTTATTAGCCAAAGAGCCAAATATGGACATTATAACAATTTTAAAAAAAATGATAACCAAGTCTGCTTATTTAGTAAACTTTTATTACACTAAATAAAACTAAATTTGTAGAGTCATTAGGATTTTTTTGGAGGCCGGAGAGATGAAAAATTAACAACCGCCTTCGCCGGGAATCGAACCACGAACCTCTGGAATACTGGCCCAGCGTGCACCGAACCATTACAGCACGAAGGCACGCTAGGAGTGGGAGAAATACCTTATATACTTCCCCTTTTAAACGCCGACTGGGATTTTTAGGGGACCTCAAGTCGCCAAATCCTGGGTGCAGGAGAATTCATAATCCACACACCCTTTTAGTTCGGGCGCATCGCTGTAGAGACATTAGGACATTTTTTTTTTTTTTTTTTTTTTTTTTTTTTGAAGCCAGAGAGCTGAAAAATATGCAACGCCTTCGTCGGGAATCGAACCACGCGGACCTATGGAATACCGACCCAGCATGCTACCGTTACACCGCGAAGGCACGCTAGGGAAGTGGGAGAAATACCTTATTAATTTAATACTTAATAAATATTTATTAATGCGAACAATGTGCTTGCATCTCCTTGGAAAGTTTGAGTAAGTCAGGTTTGTATGTTGTTGTTTTTAATTTTAGTCATGAATCCAAGTTCTCAGCAATAAGACGACTTCTCAGTTTACTCTTGATAAAATTCATGCTTGAAAAAGATTGTTCGCATATATATGCAGAACCAAAAAGGGAAAGAACAGCAAACGCGAGATTTTTCAGCTGATCGTAAGAGTCAGGAATTTTATTCCAAGCATTGAAAATGATCACGTATTCCTTCTCCAGGCCATTCAAAGCAGACCACTGACCACTTGTCAAGACAAGTGAACTAAGATCACATTTTTTCTTCTTCAATATTTCCTGTTCAACACAAAGACGTTCGAATTTAGAGCGCCATATATCCTTGATTTTTAAATCCAGCAATTGTATTTCAAAGCTACCAATGTCAATTTCAACAATGGCAGACACGGTAGATAAGACAAAACAGTTCACACTGCAACTGCTGCTCTGTGATGCCAATTTGTACCTTCACTACTTTATAAAAAGCATGCACGTGCATGCCAGTAGTTTTGTACATGGTTTATGTTTACGTTTATGAAAATTAATAAAATTATGATGTTCATTACGTATTTTTACAGCAATATAAAAATTTAATTACCTATCTGTCTTTTTACTCAAACAAAAAATTATACATGTTCTCGTTTTATAGAAGAATTTTAATTTATCAAAGTAAGATGTAATTTTTTTCTTACCAATTTTTTTTAAATGAAAATATTATTGTGCCTTTCATGGCAGAGCCGCACTTAAGGAGCCAAAGAGCCACATGCGGCTCTGGAGCCACACTTTGCCGACCACTGCCTTAGCCAATTAATCTAACCGAATTAATAAAAGATATGTTTAACAAACAGCAGGTGTTATGCACCTCAGAACACTGGCTCAAAATAAGTTTTCTCCACGTTTCCCCCCCCCTTGTTCTCTCTCTCTCTCTCTCTCTCTCTCTCTCTTTTTTTTTTTTTTTTTTTTTTTTTTTTTTTTATGACACTTTGTGATTTTTCTTTAAAGCACTGGTGTCTAGCCTATCCCATAATAGACTTCAAAGGACATTGCTATAGCACCTTATATATATAACCAGAAAATGAATAATTAAATAAGAGCATACAGTTCTAAATTAAGATAAAAGATATACATGCTATGCACCTCAGAACACCTCCTAAGAAGGTTTTTTCTTGTTTTCTGTCTTTTTTTTTTTTTTAATGGCACTATGTTTTTTCTTTAAAGCACTGCGTCCAGACTTAATGGGCTTCAAAGGCCATTGTTATAGCACCTTATATATAACCAGAAAATGAATAAATAGACTAGAGCATACACTTCTAAATTTAAAATTACTGTATAAGTAATTTGGGTATAATTTTTGTGTATAGGAAATTTGATGTCTATCTGTTTAAATTAATTAAATAAGCAACTTAAAGGCCAAAAATAATGTATAAATGAAGTTTTAAAGAATTACAATAACTAAGAAAATTATTGAAAGTTCAGCAGGCATTTATTAACTGTCAAGCAGCCAAAGGTTTGGTCTCAAAACCCTAAATTTTCCTGAAAAGCTATGAGTAAATGATCATTTTATTGTAATTATTCTAAAGTGACCCTCCTACTTTGAATCTTGACTCCATTTCTGCCAATAAACACTCTTAAAAAAAAAAAAAAAAAAAAAAAAAAAAACTTAAGCACCAAGCAGGACTTTTGTGATCATGATGAAATTTGGTATACAAAAACATCTTGATCGAACATGCAAATGATCAAAGTATAAAGGCAAATGAACGGGAATTGTGATCATAGCACGCATTTCTAGTGCGCAATTCGCAAAGTATAAAACCAGTAACAGAGATGGAAAATTTATCTTTTTCTGTTGCTGCCATTGTAATTCTGTAAAGAAGCAACTAAAGATGCAATTGCGATGATATCGAAGACCTTACAGGCAACTAAACGACTTTATTGTCACATCGTAGAATAACATGAAGCTGGGTGGTCATACTGAGCAATAGGCCACCACCTGCAGCATACAAACATTGCTGTGCAAAGATGTGAACAGCAATGGTTGATACAAGGAAATTGCTGACGAAATGAAGGCTCTGGCAGGCCAAAGATCACAAATGCGAGGCAAGATAGGATGTTTGTTTGGCCCGAACTGCCTCAAGGGTATCATTGTCGACTATTCAACGCACTACAGCAACATCTATACCTCCCGTAGAGTCATCTGGAGTGGTGTCACAACCGATTATCATGGCTGCCATCAGACTGGCATCGTACAGTGTTCAGTGATGAATCCCGCTTCACTCTTGAAGCAGATGACCACCGTGTTCATGTCTGGAGAGGACAGGGCCAGTGGTCGCAATCAGCCATACCCATACCTCCTGGTGTCATGGTGTGGGGTGCTATTTTTTATGAAAGCAGGTCATGTATAGTCATCCTTCATGTATGTTTAATAGCTTAACGATATGTTGATACCACCATGCGGTTGGTTGCATTACCGTTCATGGCACGTCATCCTGGAGCCATTTTTCAACAAGATGATGCCAGGCCACTTACCATTCGTATATCTCTGGACTGTCTCCGTGCAGTTGATACTCTTCCTTGGCCAGCAAGGTCACCAGACCTTTCACCGATCGAGCATGTCTGGGACATGGTAGGCCGGCAGATTCAAGCACGACAAAATATCGCAGATCTGGTGCGACATATGATCAATGCTTGGCAGAATGTGTCGCGGGATGACTTTAGGAAC